AATAAATATTAATTAACTATAATTAAATTAATTGATCAAAAATAAATTATAACAACTTTCCTCTATAGATCCCTTGACCAAAATTTTTAGAAAGCAAAACTAAGAAAAATGCAACAACTAGTCTAAAAAACAAGACTTGAAACACTAACAAAAAAGACAGAACAGCAAAAATTGCATATAGTTTGATAAAAAATATAGAAGAGAAACCTTAAAGACAGTGGAAAGTAGCATATAAAGAATTCTTTTGACAAAAGATAGAAAATTGTTTGGAAAAATTGTGAAATTGCCAGAATTCTGTATTGTAGATTCTTCAAGTTACACAAAAAGTTACAATAGGATAAGCAAAGTAAACAAATAAACATATACATCAAACTAGTTCAATCTAGATACAACACATGACATAGAAGCATATAAAAAATGATTGTACAACATGAACAGAAGTTTGCCAGAGAATACAGAGAAAGCCTCAATGCAATCTTTACAAGAAGGATATATGAGGCAATAAATAATGTATATAATAAAATTTTCTTTAATGAAGCAAGCAAGACATATGCAATATCTAGTAGAGAAGATAATATTGTTTAGCATTTACAAAACAATATCTAAATAAAGTAGCACTTCTGTGAATAACAAGAGAAATACTAGAAAAAGCAGAAAGAGAACAACCTAGAAAGAAGCTAGATTTTGTAAAGTAGTACTAAGATAGAAAAAGTATAAAAAAGAAAAAAAAATAATAATAAACAATTGAGATAAAGAAAAGGCAAGAAGAGCTGAAAATAGAAACAAAAAGGAAAAAAAAAAGAGAATGAAAAGTCTACATACAAACATTGAAACTGCAAAAAATAAAGTAAGTATAAAGGTAAGACAAACAAATGATAGTCAAGTAAAAGCTAAATAATCTATTTATGGAGAAGAAGATAAAGAACCAAAAGAGAACAAGAACAAGAAGACATAGAAATGAATAAAAAAGAATCAAGACAAAAATTAACAATAAAAGAAAAGAAAAAGAAAAAAAAAAAACCAAGAAATCAAAAAAAACTTAATATAGTAGGAGTATTACTTAAAAAAAGCATGTAGGCATTGAGCAAAAAAGACTGTAGCTAAAACAACAGCCTATTTGCAAACATACTAGCATATAATATACTTGGAAAGACTAAAGAAAAATATACAAACTTTATTAAATAGTCACTAAAAAACAATGAGCATATCAAAAATATTGAAGAAGTCTTTAAAAGAGGAAATCTATAGATAGAAGTAGACTTTGACTGTAAATATGACAAAAGTAAGGCAATACAAAGAATCAACAAAAAAAAAAGTGATTGGTACAGAATAATCACAGAAGAAGAAAGAATAAACAAAAAGAGAAAAGAAAAAACATACATTAAAAAATATTAGAAGGAAAGAAACAATACATCAAAATTTGAGAAAAATGAATATGAGTGACAAGAAAGAAAAAAAGAACTGACAGAAGATCAAATAGATATTGAGAAAGAAGAAACATAGAAATGCAAATATATAACAATCTGGGATCTGCTGGCAGATATAAACAAGAAAGAGATTGAATATATGTGCAGAAGGTTTAAAAACACATATAACAAGAATCAAGAGATCCAAATACAAGGCTCTCACAAAAATCCAAATAGAAGAATTAGAAGAAAAAGACGCACCATGATCCATACCAGTTAACAGTAACAAACTGATAAGCATAACAAACTGATAAGAGTAACAGAAGGTAAAGAAAATTATAAAGTAAGACAAAGGCAAAGTCAATATATAGCAAAAATAACAGAGCTACCAAGCAATGCTTCAGAAGTATTACTATTATACTGTCTAAGAAGCAAAGATGCAAAATCAGTGTACATCTTACTAAACAGAAACAGAAATTAAAGAAGAACAGTAATAATTACATTTGCATCAAAAAAATAAATAAAGACAGTCTAGTCAAAACCAATCAGATATAATAATTTTCAAGTATTCTGTTTAAATGAAGGAAAAAAAGAAATAAAGAAAAAAGAAAGTATTAGAGGAAGAAGAAAAAGAAACTAGAAAAGAACTAACCAAAATTAGAACAGAAAATATGCAGAAACAAGAAGTAGTTCTTAAATACAAGATACAGAAGAGTGGTTAAAAAACAGAAACATTACTGACAAGAAAAGTTGAAACAAAAATAAATAGGTTCCAAATAGAAGATATATTGAAATAAAAAGTGATCCTCAGTTACAAAACATAGAAGAATGGTTAGGAGTCAAAAACATGAATGCAGAAAGAAATAATAGAAACATGGTCGAAAAGAAAATGAGACTAAACATGCAAGTATATATAGAAACAAAACAGATGAAGAAAGTTTTAGATCAAATCCTGAATAGACTAAATCAACTAGAAGACACTCAGCTAGGTATAAAAAAAGGCCTGGCTAACTGCTTTTGAGAACATTCTAGTTGAACTTATAAATATAGATAAGGAGATCAGAGATTTTTTGCATAATAAGAGAAGAACTTTTGAAAAAAGAATCAAAAAAAAATTACCTAATTCAAGAGAAAAAAAGAGAAGAAAAGAAAAAAAAAAAACAGAAAACACAGAAACAAGATACAAGTAATTAAAAGAAAAATAGAAAAATAGAAATAAAGAAATAAAAATTGCATGTTATAACATTAATAGACTCAAGACCAGAGATTGAAAACTAAAAAATCTGCTGGGCTGGTCAAAGAAAAACAAAATAGTATTCTTAAAAATAACAGAAATAAACATTGTAGAAAAAGAAGAAAAAATCTTGATATATAACCTTAATATAAAATTTAAAGATTACTAGACTAGTGCAGTAGTAGACAAGAAAAAAGAATCAGATATTGAAATCTTAATAGATAAAACTTAGAAAAAACATGTTGAAGTAGTTAAAAAACATAGTGAATATATAATAGAAGTAAAACTATACTTTAAACAACTAGTACTGATAGTAATAGAGGTGTATATTCCACCAAATAACAAAGCAATCAGTAAGAAAATACAGTAAAAAATTGTGAAAATAGTAACAAACAAAAGAAAACATACAGAAATAGTTATACTTGAAGATTTCAATTATACAGTAGACAATATATTAAACAGACTGCATCTGCAAACAACAGATTATAAGAAATTATCAATCTTCAATTGGTTTAAGAAACAAGATTTTATAGACTCTTTCAAAAATTTGCATTCAACAAAAAAGACATACATATGGTCAAGCCAAGAAGTAGCAACAAAAATTGACTATATCTGGTTATTAGAAACAATTGCAATTGTCTTCAGAAAGCCAACATAGATGAAGCAGAAGGTATAACAGGCAGTAACTACAAGATAGTAACAATAGTCATGTGGTTAGAGCACATAATTGTAAACCAGAATTATGTAGAAACTAAACATAAAGACCAGATAAGAATAATATACTTATATAAGAAAGCAAAACAAGAAAACTAGAAAGAATATGCTAAAAAAGTAAAAAAAGATATATAATCAAAAAGAAATATAAAAACCGATCAGCCCGAATCTGAAATCTGGGCAATAAACGTGAAAAGATAGTATGGAAGTATAAATAAGAACCGGGGAATAAATTTTATTATTGTCTGAAGCATAGCGGAGGACACGTCTGCCGTTGATCAATAGTGTCACGTGCATTCTGTCTGTTCGTTTCCGCATCTTTGATTGGCTGTCAATCATACTTCGGACTCCCGTTTTCCTAGTATAGATCATGACCCATTCCTAAAAGTTACAGGGCATACGATCGATTTTCCGAGGTTAATAGTTTTCGAACATCAAGGCATTTTATGTTAGAGTTTGTACATATTTTAAGGCTAGAAAGGGCTTCCTGACAGTAAATTGCGTGAGTAATTTTTATTTTTTATTAGAACCACAAAGGCGGTTTACCACAAGAAGTTTTAAGATAAACGCGATTTTTGCAAAGTGACCGTTTTTACGTTACACCAGATACTGATTTTTAATTGGCCAATTGATATCGGAAAATCACATGAACGAAAATTCAATCCTGTGCCTCGAGTATCTCAGAGACCGTTAATGTTACACGTATATTGAAACTGATGACGGATTATATCCATCACAGTTGAATTCAACATAAATAATTTAATTTGTGATTTATCACAGGCGAGAGTGGATCGGGCACTGTCTCTGCTGTACACTCAAAGGTAACTTTTGTTATGTATGAATGATTTTCTATGGAAGAACAGGAGGAAACGTTGATGTTACACGATTGATTTTACACACGGTGTGAAACACATAAAAAAATCATTTTACAATACTTGAACAATCGTGATCAGTCCGCTAGTAGATGTTATGATTATAATCCAACACCATTTTTATTATAATAAAAATGGTGTTGGATTATAATCATAACATCTACTAGCGGACTGATCACGATTGTTCAAGTATTGTAAAATGATTTTTTTATGTGTTTCACACCGTGTGTAAAATCAATCGTGTAACATCAACGTTTCCTCCTGTTCTATGGAAGTTATAACCTGATGTAATAAAGAAAGCTATGCTATAAATTGATTTCATTAATTAGATCTGACATGTAATCTTAATCAAGTTCTTCAAAAAACTGTATGTACATTACATAATATTATAATCGTAACGAATTTTATTTTTCTTAATAAAAGTTACAGTTCTTTTTCTGCGGCTTAATTGTTCAAATAGAAACGAGATAAAAGGGCGACGAATTGCCCCCACATGATTGTACTTTCTCTCGAATATATCGAATTTCTCTCAAAATTTAACCATTTGTACGTAGCGATTAACGAAATTAATTTTTTTGTGTTGTGTGTGTGTTCTTTTTTTCCTCTTTTTTTTTTTTCCTTTTTTCCTCTTTTTTTCCTTGTAAATAGAAAGATACATAATTGTTTTCATGAGAGGGGGAAAAATCGATTTAATGATAGAATACTTAATTATTTATCGAATGTACGAAAAAACAAATAAATATATTGTAATTGTGAAAACGATTGAAAATTGATTTAGTTTTGAGATTCAACGAACTTCAGTGCTATAAGAACGCCATCTTCCGTTCCACAGACCAACCATTCATGCGTCATTTTAAAACACGTCACACCGCGGTCAACTTGGGTGAGCGTTATTGCAGGACAGGAAAGTTTAAAGCACTTTTTAATTCCCGGAATGATCAAGGAGTCGAATCCTGTTTGTTGGTTTTCATTATGATTGTGATTACATCGCCATTTGCGTGTTCTAACGAATCCATCAGAAGAAACGGAAACAAGGCGAGACGAATTACATTGAATCTGCCAAACAACGTCCGTATGGTCGTTAGCATAAAGAAGTTGTTTACCGTTAGAAAGATCCCACATTCGAATAGTAGAATCTGCAGATGCAGAAAAAATAGGTTGCGTAATTGACGGTTTCTCTGAATCATTTAATTGCATGGAATCACTATTAGGACTAAGAGGTGGCGAGGGCACTGTATTGTTTGTATTCGTAGATAATAAAGAATTTCGCGAATGAAAACTATTATGAAAATCTTGAGAATCATTTTCATGAACATTATTCGTATCTTGATCATTATTATCTTGATCGCAACTATTAGATGGTGATGCATGAGAATCCAAATCCATATCATTTTCATTATCTTCATTATTTGATTGAGGAGATGAACTAGATGAGCTAGAAGATAGAAGTGGCATAGTACTGATATGGATCGGATCTGAATAATCTAAATGTCTTTGATTATGATCTATAATTTGGTTTATTATGTCTTTATGCCAGGCCAAGCAGGTTACCGCTCTTGCATGTCCTTCTAGTCTTTTAACGATTTGAGGCTTTTTTGACCGAGTTTTTTGAGTTAGGCACGATTGATCAACATCCCATACGAAAATTTTTGTATCATTCGAACCAGAAATAAGCCAATATAGATTATCTTGATCATCAGTGAAGGGTGATTGAGGGATTAGTGTTAACGTGCCTACTGTGCCATCATGACCATACAATCTATGTAAACAATCGCCGGTGTTAATGTTCCATATTCTTATTGTTTTATCTACGGATCCAGAAAAAAGGAGTGTTTCGTTTGAGTTTATTTCTATGGATATGATTCCAGCCGTGTGACCAAATAGTTTGCGTATAATGTTATAATCATCTGTGAGATCGTACACGATTATAGATTTGTCCCAACTTCCTGATGCGAGAGTTGATTGAGCCAATGCTAAACATTGAACTCCTTCGGTGTGACCTTCCAAGGTTTTGAGACAAGTTTGGCTGGATATCTCCCAAACCTTAATTGTCTTATCAAAAGACGCAGAATAGAATATATTGCTTAATTCAGATCCGACAATACAGGTGATACTTTCTCTATGACCGAGAAAGAGGTGTTTCGTAAATAATTTCTTATTCCAATTGTTCTGGACGATATAATGATGCTTATATAATTGATAAAAGAAATCATCGGATTCGATGTTGTAGTTAAAGGATGAAGGTGTTGTAGTGGTAGGGAAGCCGGCGAGTGTACATTGATTTTTCCAAAGAGTGTTATCTGTTGCACGAACCTTCCACGCTTTATTAACTGAAATTAAAATGTTATTTTTTAGAATTTTTTTTTTTTCCATTGAATGTATTTGCTAGTAAGTATATGTTTGAAAAGCTTTGCTTTTTTAGGTTTTATGCGAAGATACATTCATATATCATCCAGAAAATTAAAAAAAACTTTGGTCTAAAAAAGATCAATCTTTATTAATTTGCATAAAATTTACATTTTTTTTTTTTTTTTTGAATTGTCCGTCGCTACGCTCTGGTCAATTTTATGCAATAAGTGATACGAAAATTACGTTTTTGATGCATGTCGATCAAATATAGTTACTTTTTGATAAATTTTATGATCGCATCAAGAACGTAATTTGGAGTTACGTCGCGTAACTATATTTATATTTTAGTGTAACCAAAACATGCATATTTACGCGTTTGTGCAATATATGATTATGTGTTCCAGATACACAATGCTACGCATTAACCTAGATATATAATAGATCAAGTTTAATACAGTAGCAGTCGAAAGCATTGCACTGCAAAAATACCATTCTTGATTTACATATAGTGATGTGCCATTTATACGACATCCGAATTTTTTTCGAGTATAGTACGTACAGTGCGTATCTAGCGATTTGATTGGCTGGTAGAAAGGATCGGCAAAAATTTTCGCGTACAGTACTGTACGTGGCACATCTCTATTTACATACCGTTCCTGATAGAATTCTAAAAAAAGGCATCTAAAATACTATACTACTATAGCGAAGTATATGAAAAAAGTTATTGTTTTTAAAACCTTATCTGGAACAGTGCTCTCCATCAGAAACGGTATTTTTGCCATTGCACTACATAAGTTGAAAACTTTCATACATTACACGTACAGATCGAGTTAATACCCCGTGATTTTAATATAATGATCTGAGTATATCTTCTTAATGGTAAGTTATTTTCTTTTTTAATTCGTCTAAACCAATACTTTACGAATAATTCTAAAATTATATCATGACTGAATTACATGATTCTGACGTTAGGGTATTGCAGCACTATGTGATCGACGCATTATGTAAGATTTTTGAGATTTTTGAAAACTTTAGAACGTTATACCTTCTTCTCCACCTAAGTAATCTAGGACCGTGAATTATGAATTGTGCATATAATTAGCGTGGTTATGTTGTCAAATTCTTATTTATATATGATTTTCCATTTTTCACGGTGGAGACTCGGAATTTTTATAAAGCAATTAAAAATGCCTAAACGTAGTTTTTAAAGTCACGTCAATTAAATGTAAAGATTCAAAAGTTACAGAACTAGATATTCTTAGGTAGAAAAAAGGTAGAACGGTTTAAAGTTTTTTATGATAAACTATTATAATAATTTAATATAAAAAACTTTAAAATGTTCCAACTTTTTTTTACCTATCTCGTAACTTTTGAATCTTAAAATTGACATGACATTAAAATTATGTTGAGATCATTTTAATTGCTTTATAAAAATTCAGAGTTTCCATCGTGAAAAATGGAAATCAAGAATTTGACAACATAACCACACTAATTATATCTAGATTTACTTGGGTAGAAAAAAATGTTATAACATTCTAAAATTTTCAAAAATCTCAAAATCTTACATAGTACGTCGATCATATAATGTTGCACTATGATAGTAGATCATTTGATGTGGTTAATTACTTCCTTAAATATAATCTAACAGCAATTTAAACTTTGAACAAAGATATTATTAGCAAGAACATATTTCAAGAACACTAACTATTATACAGATTTCCATGATTTGCTTAAATACCGAGATTAGTCAGATCTCCAATAAAATACCTTTATTTTTAGGCAACTTAAGAATTATAGAAATCTGTATATTGGCCAGGTCAGGTGTCCTTGAAATAAATATTTCACTCAAAGTTTAAATTATTGTTGGATTTTAAGGAATCAGAAGTAATGCATCACAAGAAATCATGTAATGCAATCATAATGTTATTTTATAATTACCGTATTGTCACGAAATAACGGGCATAGGCATTATTTAGAAAATCGTACCTTATGAAAATAGCATAAATGATTTCAAAATAACGCCCATGCGTGTTCCGAAATAACATGAACTCCTATAAGATGTCAACCCGGGTGAAAGCAGGTACATAATAATTTGAAAAAACAAGATTCTGAAAAATTATTATTTTTGTTCTCAAAAATAACGCCATGCGCGTACTCGAAATAACGCAGGCGGGCGTTATTTCGCGACAATACGGTAGTTATTATTTGTTTAGACAAATTAAATAAAATAAAAAAAAGCTTCTAGAATAACTTACCATTAAAAAGGTATAAATTTAAACATTTAATGTCGCGGATGATACTAAGATTCGGATGATCGTGAAATTAATACATCTGATTGGGGTGTTAAATTTCACGATCATCTACTCATTTATAAAAACAAGCAAAACTTTTCAAATTTTAAGAAACACGATTTTGTATTGAGCGTGAGTTAGTCGTTTTACAAATAAAACTTACTTTGTCTAAATCTGCACAAAGATACTATGTCTAAAAAATTCAGGAGATAGGTTAGCAGAGGATGGGGAAGCGTGGAAATGGCGTCCTTATTCAGCTGTCTATAAAGATAAAAAGGATTATTTTTTTTTTTAAAAAAAAAAAAAGAAATTATTGGCTTTTGAAAAAAAACACTAGGGTATATACCGATGTAAATAGGTAGATAATTCTTTACGTTCATTATGAGAAAGTCCATCCACCAGAAATTGTATATAATTTAGGCCATTTTCTGGGGTTTCTCTACCTATAGGCTGAAGTGACACTGGAGACAATAGAATTATTTTACTACCTTGAATTTAAAGGGTACGTATCACTTTACAGAAAATTGCTTTACCGTATTGTCTCGAAATAACGCCCGGGGTGTAGGTTAACATTTTGGCCCGAATTAAGCTTAATTCTGGCCAAAATTTTAACCTACACCCCGGGCGTTATTTCGGGACAATATTGCATAGACAATCAATTCATAGACATGTTCATTTTAAAGACTATTCATTTACAGACAATTCAATTCATAGGTAGCTCATTTTGCAAACGGTTCATTTTATGGACAATCTTTAAAAGAGAATAACACAGACAAGACAGTTCATTTTGCAGACAATAATATCCAAACCAATCTGTGAATTAGTTGTCTTTAAAATAAACTTGTCTATGAAATGAGGTGTCTGTGAAGTGATACGTATCCGAATTAAAATGATATAGATTATTCACGTACTTTTCGTCTTTTCTATTATAATGCCATGCAACAATGTTGAAGATTGAAATTAATCGAACTTATATTTTTTAAAAAAAGTCAGTTGCACATGGAATTTTTTAACTTTAATTTTTTTAAGTTTATAAAATATTATGCAATGCAAGCTGAGTGTGCATTAACATACAGAGTCACTTCATTTTGACGTATAACAATACAAAAATTATGATTTAAAACTTCTGCCTAAAATAAGAATAGTGCAATTGTCAAAAGAAAAATTAACGGTATTTCCATAATGTAGGGGATTACAGGAGATAGGATAACGTGCATGAATGCGTATAAACTTTCACCATAATTTCTAACAAAGGTTTCTAAGAATTTATTGAACATTCACAAAATTGGCAAAAACAATGTTTATTCAAAGGTTACGACACGGAAAAAACCTTAGTTATTATCATTGAGTGCGTACCACTAAATGCCAACCGATCCAACTGGTAACAAACAAACCTGATTTCGTTGTCACTGAATCGCCTTTGAAATCTAACCGAATATGGACGATAATCGGTTAAGGTTGAATTTGTGCCATATGATTCTTTAGTTTGAGAAGATCTGTTTATCTGAATCATGGTACACATCAAAATCGTGATTGAGACCAGGTCCATCAAGAAACAAGAAATTCTATGCATGCTATCGATAAGTTGGTCACACACAGTGCATGTTGTTTAAAGAAAAGCGATACTAACCTTGTAGATCTAATTTCCACAATCCGTATCTTTAATGAATTCCGTAAAATTTACAATTTCTTTGCAATATATTATTGTATTGTCAATTTTTTAGTGATCTAAATTTGGATTTTAATGTAACAATGCTTATATCTCGTGGGAAAGTAGCCCTATATAAATCCTTAAAGTACGTATTTATAATGATTTATTATGGTGATATTAAAAAAAGGAAATATGAATAATCTTTATATTGTCCTGCAGAGAGCAGTGACTAACCTTAAAGTTATTTTAGAAACTTCCGTTACGCGTTTTCTTAGTGGTGTGTTTTAAAGTTTACACCGACATTGTGCCTTGCTTTGTTACTCTGCAGAAACAATTTAACCGTTGATAGGTCAAAGGTTAGAAAGATAACGCATGTAGAATAAGAGGCTTAATATAATGTTATAATAAAACTTTATCCATGACGCGACAAAATTGTAAATATTGCATAAATATTTGGATGTACGTTTTTGTAATACATGCAATACTGCAAAAATCCGTGATGAGTAATCGATTGAAACAATACTTATTGTCCGGATATATGTTAGTGCAATAATAGTATATAATCTTTTTAAGGACAAAGTTTTTCTTCGTTCCGGTTTGTTTCAAATATCTTTCTTTAACTATGATATCATACTGTACGGTTGATCAACTTGTCATTTTTCCGGTTCATATTATTTCAGACCTTAGTTGTGACGCATAAGAAACAAATATTGACATGAATCCCTGGGAAAATTTTTGATAGGCAAAGGGGCTTGTGTTTCGTAAGATAATCTCATTGTTCAATCAATTTATGCGAGAAGCATACATACAATCTTTGTGATAAATGGCTTAATAAATACATCAATTAAATGATCTGACATGAACTGATCCAATTATTGAAAAGGTTTGTCGCGTGTTTCAGATGTCATTTGAACGTCAAAATTATTTCATATGTTTATACGCCAATGAAACCTAAGAAATATCTTTGTTCTATTAAGTTATTTCATTATCCGATGAATTTTTCTGGATATGAGAATACAATATAGATATGTGCTTTATCTGGCTTATCGCTAGATTATCCCTGTGCATGTATGTTAATATAT